AGGTACATTATTGACAGTCAGGGGCTGCACACAGATCCTGATAAGGTAAATGCTATAGTGAGTGCTCCAGCACCATCAAATATTACAGAATTGAAAGCCTTTTTAGGCCTTGTCAACTTTTATGGTTGTTTTGTGCAGGACCTTGCATCAATATTGCATCCTCTGTATCAACTGTTGCGCAAAGATGTTGACTGGGTATGGTCTAAGAAATGCAATGATTCTTTTAACAAAGTCAAAGAACTCATGACTTCTGTTGATTTTTTGGCTCATTACGATCCTAATTTACCATTGAAATTATCATGTGATGCAAGCTCTTACGGCTTGGGGTGTGTTCTTTCAACAATCTTAGAGTCGGGCAAAGAACGTCCAATCGCGTTCGCGTCTAGAGTTTTGTCAAAAGCCGAGAAAGGTTATAGTCAGACGGACAAGGAAGCTTTGTCGATTGTTTTTGGGGTCAAAAGGTTTAATCAATATCTTTTTGGGCGTCATTTTTCACTTGTAACTGATCATAAACCGCTTTTGAGTATTTTTGGGAAGAAAAAGGGCATTCCCCAAATTGCCGCTAATAGGTTGCAGCGGTGGGCATATTTTCTCAGTGCTTATGATTACTCTGTTATTTTTGTAAAGTCTTCGGATCATGGTAATGCTGATGATTTGTCCAGATTGCCGCTGGATGTAAAAGGTAATGACAATCTTGATGATTATGACTTTTTACAATTTATTCAAGAAGGATGTATACCGTTGAGTTCTAAAAATGTAGAATGTGAAACCAAGAAAGATGAAATTTTGTCTTCTGTATTAAGGTATGTACTACATGGTTGGCCGTCAAATATTGATAGTAGTGTGAAATCTTATTTTTACAAAAAAGATGAATTGAATGTAGAAGCAAATTGCCTCATGTGGGGGTACAGAGTTGTAATTCCTAGTAGTCTTAGGCCTAGCCTATTAGCTGAATTACATAAAAATCATTTAGGAATTGTAAAAATGAAAAGTATTGCCAGGTCATGTATGTGGTGGCCGGGAATAGATAAGGATATTGAGAATGTCTCAAATCTTTGTGATTACTGTAACAATTCAAGGCCTAATCCGCCTAAAACTGTATTGCATAGTTGGAATATACCCGAGAAACCTTGGGTAAGAGTACATGCAGATTTTTTTGGTCCAATCAATAACAAAATGTATCTTTTAGTAATTGATGCTTATTCTAAGTTTTTGGAAGTCATTCAGATGAATAGTATAACAAGTTCAGCAACTATGGTTCAGTTGAGAAAAATATTTGCTAGGTATGGTTTACCTCAAGTGTTTGTAACGGACAATGGAAGACAATGGACTTCTGATGAGTTTTCTAAATTCATGTCAAACAATGGTGTTAAGCATTTGTTTACTGCCCCATATCATCCAGCAACTAACGGTGCTGCAGAAAATGCTGTTAAGTCTCTCAAAAAGTGTTGTAAAATAGCTAAAGAATCAAATGTAGATATTGAAACTGCCATTAATAGATTTTTGTTTGATTATCGTAACAGCCAACATTGTACAACTTGTGAATCTCCATCTAAACTCATGTTTGGTCGCTCGTTGCGTACTAGGTTTGACCTGCTTAGACCTTGTAAAAATGAAAATTGGCATCGCAATGTAGAGAAACAAAAAGCAAGTTTTCATGGTAACAGGACTGTTTCTTTCAGTGAAGGTGAATTGGTGTTAGTCCGTGATTATCGTCCAGGTCGTAGGTGGAGCAAGGCTCGCATTGTTAATCCCTTGAGTCCTGTTTCATTTGAAGTGATCATTTTAGATTGTGACACAGTTTGTAAACGACACGCTGACCAAATTTTGCCTTTGAATGTGTGTCAAGACAATGTTTATGTTGGTGGTGACAATAACGTAACGTCTGTAGAGTCAGTAACTAGTGACCTAAACGAAACTTTATCTGTAGCTTCTCCCTTAAAATCTCCGCCTGTCACTAGTACACCAATTGTGCGTTCCGGCAGAAATTCTTTGTCACCGGTTAACCAAGATCCAAGCAGGCCTAACATAGCAACTAGTCCTATAAGCTCTTGCAAACAACCAAGTCCGGTTCATGTTGAACCTGAAAGAAGGTATCCTTTGAGAGATAGAATTAAAAAGAAAATTTTGGATATGTAACCTTTTGTTTTCAGTGAAGGATGAGTTCATAATATATAGATCGTATGAGTTATTCATCATATTGAGTTTTTATTTTAAGTTATGAAAAATATGTTTTATTTTCAGCTAAAGTAAATTCAAGTGAATTGTTTATTGCCCTTATTTCAATTTTATGTTTAGCCTATATTTAATACAAGATGTATTAAATTTTGTACTTTAGATTAAAACAGAAGAATTGTTGATTTTTGTTGTACCACTTGTAATAATTTCCTTTGCTCACGTTTGTTAAAAATAATAAAATTTGATGGTTGTTAAATTCATGTTAGTTAAAAATTATTGTAACTTTTGGAGAATTACAGTAGCCTAAGAATTTTAACAGTGTTCTGTTCTATCGTTTTTGTTAGATCGTGTCAACTTGATTCTTATTTTATATTAATATGTGTAGGTCAAATTCTTTTCATTTTGTTTTACTGCTTTATCTTTGAAGGGGAGGATGATGTAATATATGTGCCTTATAGTTTGTCATAACTTGGATACTCTATGGGCTGTGCTCCCTACCACAATTCGTAAGAATAAAGATCTTCAATGTTCAACCATCAACATGAAAGCATCTCATTTCAGAGCCTTGTCTAAATGTCAGTATAAGTTACATATTTAGTAAAGATGGTTTTAAGTGTCAATAATTGTTAGTGTTGCTATAAAAGAAATAGTATACATTACACCCCAGATAGGCATATCTAAGTTTCTTTACACCATTTCCCATTCCTTCACTTCAGTTTATGGCGGTTTTAATAAAGTCCTAGTTAAGTAATTCCACACAAGAGTGTGTCTCCTAGTGTTTTGGAAGTAAGTTACAGGGCAATAAGACAATTTGGGTCTCCTTGTTTTTTGTAAAGCAGTGCTTATTATGTGTTTAACTTAAGTTAACAATAGTTGTATTTAATCAATTACAGTATTATTGCCTAAAGATTATGTGCTAGACATGGAATCAAGCGACGGAGGATTGATGGACTGTTGGTAAATGTCTAGTAGGCCTACGAGTAGGCTGTTAAATGTTTTGTGAAGCCTACAGGATATTTTCCCCGGCATCTTTATATTGAACCGTCCCGAGAGACAAAAAATGTTATTAGGCTAGCCTAAGTCAAAAATGAAGCTAGGAAATTGAAAGCTTAGGCCACTTATATAATGAGTTTAAGAGAGTGGGTGCCAGTAAACCAAAATCTTAAAAGTTGGCATACTAGCGTGTGTGGAGAGGGGGTTATGCGTGGCAGTGAATGGAAGTTTGGGAGGGTTGGGGGGTTGAGGGGGTGGTAGTAGGATGAGGAATCACAACGTCACAGGCATTGATAAGTCACTCACGGCGCAGCAAACCCTCACCAGGAGGCATGATTTTCATTTCAATTCCAGGAGTTCGGGCATATAGGTATAGGGTGAATGTAGTGAGTCATTTAATTGACTGATCCAACAGTGACAGATGGCAGGATATTTGATATTTTTAACTAGGCCTATTTAAAAAATGAAACTGTTAATATAACCTAACCTAACTTCATTCGCCCTATAAGCCGGAATTCAAATTGGAAAAAAATTATGCCCCCAGGATGAAGTTAGCCAAGCACTGTGTTACATCGCGTTGGCATGGTGCACGGACTGTCAGTGAATGGTGATTCCACCCTGCTTGGCGGATTGCGCTAAGTCACTTTAATTGCTTAATATACCTATAACTTAGACTACTCGGGTTTGTTGTTGTAGACCTTCATTCGATGTTTTCATTATCAGCAAGTAGGCCTACTATGATAAGTTTGGTTAGGTTATAACAGTTCAATGTTACTATAGTTTGGTTAACTTATAAGCTTAGGCCCAGTTTAAAAAGCGAATGAAGGTTTAACAAAGGACTAAGTTAAGTTAATCGAATCGATAACTTATTTTCAATCGATATTAGCGTTACTTAACATAGGCCTAGGTAAGTAGTCCAGTTACAAGAAACTGTACCCCAAACTTAATTTTTTACTTAGTTTAGGCTACACCAGTATAGGCTACGTTATTTCGGTACTTACGTATTATACGGAGGCCACTCATTTTACAGCACGCTGCGGCGGTTAGGTTAGGTTGGGTTATCATAAGTTTTTATGACTCATCTCGTATAGTTCGATTCATAACGAAACTAGGAAAGTTCTACAAACATATTTATGATAACCCAACTTAACCCAACCGCCGCAGCGCGCTGTAAAATAAGTGGCCTCCGTATAATACGTAAGTACCGTTATTTCTAGCTAATCTGGGTGGGAATAGAACGTGTGATATCCTAAGTAAGCTGTCAGTAGAGATAACCAATGCAGGGGATGTTCTCAAAAAAGATTAGCTAGAGGACTAACTTAGGCCCTAGGTCTATGTCTGCTTAACTAAGTTAAAGCATAAGTTTAGGTAATCGAGTTGGAAAGTTAGTTTGTCGTTCTCAGATCAACGTAGATATCCAAGTAACCGAATAATTTACGTTAAAACAGGTTGATCACAACGTGGGTTATGGGGGGGCTTTCATCTCTGCAACGTGATAGTTAAATAACCGCCCCAACAAAGCTACTGAAGAAAATAAACTTGAAAAATGTAAGAAGTCGTATTATGAATTAAAGAATACTATTCCAATACTAGAATAACGAAAATGATAGCGAACTATTAAAAATAATAGAATCAACATGGCGCGAATACCCATCAATGTCAATAAACCCAGCCCAACCGGTCACTTAATTTCAGGTATTTTATTTTCAAAACCACTTGTGTTTCTACTCGTATCAATAACCAGATATTTTACCTCACATAACGTAAACTAAATTTACCAAAAATACATTTATGGCCATGAAATAAGATTAACAAAATAAGGGACTCACATGTGCTGTAAAAGGTAAGAGAACTAGGGAATTTCAGAGAGGCGCAGGCGTACGACGACCACGTTTTCCTTCCTGAACAAGATGGCGTCAAATTGGCTTTAGAGGGGTATCAATAATTGGAGTCAACGCCTTAGAATTTCGTGTCATTACATATACAAGTACTATAAAATATACTGTGCAACGTACTGCACAATGCCAAACAAATGGGCGCTCATGACGTCCATAAGATGCGCAGGAACCCCTTGGGGAATCAAACACTACAAATATGCATCGGTGCATTTCTGGCTATATTAGGCTGGAGTAAGGCCTCAAATAACCTATGGTTCACTCGTCTGGTGGACAAAAGTCAATAAGATAACTAACTTATTGGTGAGTCGGTGGCTCAGTGTCACGGACTTCGGGCCCAAGGCAGAAGTGTCGTGGGTTCGGATCCTGGTCACTGCCACAAACTTATCAGTACAGTTCACCTTTGTACTGTACCGGCTCACCCATTGCTTTGCTGGATACGTTCCAACCACGCACAGATCTGTAGTCTATGTGGACGGGCAAATGCAAGGTTAAAAGAGGCCACCAACCTCTTTAGAAAAAAAAACTTTTTCACCACACTATGATGTTTTTGGCTGTATTACATACGTTAATTGGTGGCTGAAAGTTACGTTTTGCTTGCCATGCCAGCTGTCATAGAAATTTGGGGACCGAGCAGGTTTTTACAGGCCGGGGCCGCAAAATCAGCTGTCCGCTTACTTACTTAAAACATGAATGCATTTTAAATACACAATCAAAATCCATAGCATTGCAATAGAATTGTGTTATCGTTGCCGTTGCCTAGCAACTATTTATTTTTATTTTTGCTGATTCCTCAAATTATTTCTTTACATAACCTTAATGTTGTAGTTGTGTTGACTATCAGTGTGCATTATTATAGTGGTGAATAGTGGTAATAGGGTATAGTGTGGTGAAAAATAGCGTTCGTACCACGGGCAGAAAGGGTTTTGCAGCTCTCGATCGATTTAAGTTCTCGACTTCGTCTCGAACTTAAAAACTATCTCGAGCCGGCAAAACCTCATTTTCGGCCCTAGGTACGAAATATACTATTTCACCACACTATGATGTTTTTGGCTGTATTACATACGTTAATTGGTGGCTGAAAGTTACGTTTTGCTGGCCATGCCAGCTGTCATCGAAATTTGGGGACCGAGCAGGTTTTTACAGGCCGGGGCCGCAAAATCAGCTGTCCGCTTACTTACTTAAAACATGAATGCATTTTTTAAATACACAATCAAAATCCATAGCATTGCAATAGAATTGTGTTATTGTCGCCGTTGCCTAGCAACTATTTATTTTTATTTTTGCTGATTCCTCAAATTATTTCTTTACATAACCTTAAAGTTGTAGTTGTGTTGACTATCAGTGTGCATTATTATAGTGGTGAATAGTGGTAATAGGGTATAGTGTGGTGAAAAATAGCGTTCGTACCACGGGCCGAAATGGTTTTGCAGCTCTCGATCGATTTAAGTTCTCGACTTCGTCTCGAACTTAAAAACTATCTCGAGCCGGCAAAACCTCATTTTCGGCCCTAGGTACGAAATATACTATTATAGACAAATTAGAAAGTCTGCAAAGGCTTGGTACCCTAAACTGGTGCCTTCAGGAGCAGTCAATCAGCAACTCTCTAAGTTGCTCTTGGCTGCTACCACCTGGTCCTCTGGACATCTTCATTGAAGCTGAAGTTTGCTAAGCAGCTTACTTACAGCAAGAAGGTTGCAAATCTGTGGAAAGAAAACTTGTCTTGGGCAGGTAACTACACCATTGCCAAAGCCATTGCTGCATGTTTTATTTATTTATTTATTTATTCATTCCAACGGCAATCGCCATTTTACAAAAAAATACATTAGACAAGATTTACATGCAAGAAGATGGTACAATAGAAAACATCAATAAATGAGTAAGAAGTTTGGTGGTGGACAGTTTGAGTAAAATGTCAACAGTTATAACATTGTGAAAAAAAGTAACAATAACAAGAAACAGCGTAAATAATTAACATCAATATCAATAACAAGAAACAGTGTAAATAATTAACATCAATAACAATAACAAGAAACAGTGTAAATAATTAACTACAATAACAATAAGTGTGAATAAATAATTAACATCAATAAAATCAGTAATCTTCAAAATGACAACATTGTATATAATTAACATTAATAAATTTACTATACATAACAATTATAGACTATGGCAATATATAACAATATAATAAACTGTGAAAAAGCTAACGTAACATAAGAACAAAACTATATAACAAAAGGATGGATCTGGAGGGAGAAAAACTTTTTGATTTCTATCTTGCTGACAACAAGACATTTCATCACTTGACACTGTTGAGCGTGTGGCCCTCTAAAGGCACCACCAAGACACTCCAAGAGCACAAATCCCATCACTTGACACGAATCAGCACTTCCCGGCACCCAGCATGTGGCCCTTTAGAGGCACCACCAAATAACCAACACTGAGCGGAGAGGTGTCAGTAGAGCAGCCTCTGGACATCACGTCTGAAGGATGCTGGTGACGGCCCAAAGAAATCCAAGTGTGGGCAGACGTCTTTGCTAAATCTCAGCAGTCTGGAGATTCCGATGGTGCTTGACATGACCTCAGACGTTCTTAGCGCAGAAGTAGTTTTCAGTTTTCACCAAACACTTATTTGTTAAATTCCGCTCCAGGGGTGAATGTAAACATAAGGAAGAATACGGTATCAGACAGAAACAGACAGCTTCATTATGTACACAGGTGGCTCCCAGTAAATCGATGGAAAATCACGCTTCTGACACAACAGATACTTGGGTATAGCTAACTATGCCTACCCATGTCCTTGACCAGGTCCAGGAGCTGAGCAGGCTGCGGCCTGGTAGAATTGGCAACGTCGCAAGTGGTGTTGTTTAGTGACAGACGTCTCATAAGATAAAATGGCAGACAAGTGACATCAGCTCATTAATTTCGCACTTTATTGTTTAAATTTATGAACATAAATTTATTAAAATATTGAAAATAAAACATACCTACAGAATTGAAAACCGAAACAATATGAATTAAAAATCTATATCTGTACATTTTTAAGCGGAGTCAATATTGTCATAGTCCAGTAATCAATCCGGTGGGGCACACGGAAGATTTCTTAGGTGCCGTTTGACGTCACTAACTGCTGCGTCTGAGGAAACAGACAATTTTATAATTTTTCTATTATTAAATTAAACTTTCATAACCTAACCAAACCAACCAAACGTGCTGATAATGGAAAAATCGAATGAAGGTTTACTAATCTAAAAAATAGTTTTGTTCATAAAATAAAATTATAAATGCCTAAAATTCAATTTTATAATTTTTTAATTATAAAATTAAACTGTCATAACCTAACCAAACTAACCAAACTTGCTGATATGAAAAAAATTGTTGACAAAAAGTTAGTGCTACCAGCGGGATTCGAACCCGGTACATTCGGATTATCAGCCCGACACGCTATCCACTTCTCCACCGAGGCCGATGGCTCAAAACCGTATCGTTGCGGCAATGGTGTTCCCTCAATGTGACGTCAGCAGTTAGTGACGTCAAACGGCACCTGAGAAATCTTCCGTGTGCCGTTCCGGTAATCGATCTTTCGTAATAACACAAATACCATTTATTAGCTGCTTCCAAACAACACAGCTGTTACATCATTACTTGCGACGTTGCCAATTCTACAAGGCCGCGGCCTGTAGTTAAAGGCGGCCGTGGTCGTGGGGCGTGGGTCCCATTCCTATAAGACTAACCATATTGGACCCCTCGAATACTTATGAGAATCCATTAAGCTAGGCTGCATGACACTTCATAAAGCCCAGAAACAAGAATCTAAAGATTGCAGAAAGAACAAAGAAAAAGAGCACTAAAAAAAGTCCGATGTCCGAATCCGAATCCGAAACGAAACACTGTCATATATTTACATTCTCTAGGTTTTGTTCTACTTGACTTGTATATTGTATGTATTTGTAATTTTTTTGTGTAGGTTAGAAAGAAGTCCTATTTAGGTAGTTTATTCCGGTAAGTTTATGTTATTGTTTACTAACTAGATTATTGTACATGGCATCATATTTTTAGATTATGTGAATAATTTGATTCCTCAAGCACATAACTTTCATTAAACTCTAACGTTATAAATAGCCTATTTCTAGAGAAGTATATTCTCCATTACAGGTAGGCCTAGGCCTAGTTTAAGTAGCCTATCACAATTTCTTAAAAAAAAAATATTATTCATAATTTGAAATTTATTCTTAATTATTCTAAAAGCCATGTAGACCTATGGGGTACAGTTTCTTAACTGGGCTACGCTAATATCGATTGAAACTATCGATTCAATTAGTAAACCTTCATGCGATTTTTTCACCATCAGCAAGTTTGGTTGGTTAGGTTTGGTTATGATGGTTTAATTTTATAATATATATATTTTAAAATATTGATTATCAATCAATATTTTCAATTCAATAGTTTCAATCGATATTAGCGTAGCCCAGTTAAGAAACTGTACCCGGCCTATGCAAAATATTTTAAAGTGAAAATGTAGCCTAACTTTAGAAAATAGGCCTACGCTTTAAGTCACCTGGGTGTGTGTTAAATAAGTTTTAATGTATTTATTTATTTATTACATACACGGCAAACACCATTTTACAAGAGATTTGAGTTGAGATTAATACAAATTTTTTGTGACTTAAAGTGAAATAGTTAAGTGCGATCAATAATTTATATTATAACAAGTATGAAATACTAATAAATAATATGAAATACGATAACAACACAGTTTTGATGAATAAATATTCAGTAGACCCCCTCTTAACCGACCCTAATGGGACCGGACCTACGTCGGATAACTCAAAAGGTCTGTTAAAACGGGCAATCAATAAAATCATAACATAATGAAATGCTATTCATTTGGAATTATATAATCAATATTTTGAAGTCATACTTGCATTAGTTATCAAATAAACTACTCTTATCTCCTTTTTCGTATTGATAGAAAAGTCACAAATAAACACAAAACACGGTTAAATCTAATAGGCCTACT